CCTTGGGTGATGGTTCAGTTAAAGACCTTGATGGCAGCAATGGCACAAAGCCACCATGGGATAACATTGCCTTGTGCTGCACAACACACACATGCAGGCACTGCTGCTGACACTCGGGGTTAGCTCTGGGATTCTAATGAGGTCAGGCTCCTGGCTTTGACGTTGTACTCTAAGGACACTCAGTGTTACCGCTGAAGGATGGGGGGATGGGTACACTGGACTTCCCTGTTCGTTTGTCTGCAACTTCTTGTGAACCTGTATTTCACAACAAAATGTTTTACACATACATAGATAGGTCCTTGAGACTGGCAATGTGTTAAGCACCGGGCTCCCTGGGGTTGGGGGTCCCATGGAGAGCAGAAGATACAGTCTCTGTGCTTGGCAGTTCATGGTATGACTGAGTGATGAAATTGATTTTCTTTAAAAGCAAAACACCTGTGGCTTATACCTATAATCCCAGCACTCTGGGAAGCTGAGGCAGGAGGACTGCTTGAGCCCCAAAATTTGAGACCAACCTGGGAAACATAGCAAGACCCCCTGCCTACAAAAAATAAGATTAAAAAATTAGCCAAGTATGGTGGCACACACCTCTAGTCCCAGTTGCTAGGGAGGCTAATAGGAGAGGATCTTCAGAGCCTAAGAGGTCAAGGCTGCGGTGAGCCATAATCATAATACTGCACTCCCGCCTGAGCAACAGAGTGAGATTCCAACTCAATAATTAAATAAATAAACACAAAATACCCAACAGCCTCTAGTTCTTCGTGGATGTTCCATTTTGGTGCTGACATTGCGAGTTCCAGGGGCTGGGCGGGTGTGTGTGTACCTGGCATCTCTGCCTGCCCAACCCAGCCCTGGCAGTGAGTCACACATGAGAGCCGAGGCCATCTAACCTGGCACCTGTCGTTGCCTCAGGGTGTACCAGCTGGTGCCTGTCCTCACATGTCACCTGTGGACACAGGGGCAACAGGGTCTGGTAGGTTCCCGTTGAGGCTCTTGTCGAGGGATGTGGGAGAGTCCACAGGGTGACAAGTCAAGGGGACCGCTGGCACTGGCATCTTGTAGGGAGGAGCAGGTGGGGTTCCCTGCCAAGGGAGGAGGTGCTGGGCGACTGGAGGGTGTTGGAGCTGGCTGGGGAGGGAAGAGTGACATGGTTTCTGGATGGTGAGTGGACAGGGGCTTGTCAGCTGTGTCCAGTAGGCTTGTGAGTGGCTGCTAAACCAGCATGAGCTGAGGAGACGCTGGAAACCAAGACAGATCCTGACCATGTCTCTGCCCACAGAAGTCACGTGTGCTTATTATAGAAATCCCAGTAAAGCATGCAGGAAGTGTAATTTGGTCCACTCTTTGGATGTGTTTCTTTTCTCTCTTTTCTTTTAGAGACAAGATCTCACTCTGTGACCCAGGCTGGGGGACAGTGGTGTGATCACAGCTCACTGCAACCTCCAATTCCTGGATAGGTGGGACTACAGATGCATGCTACCACACTGGCTTTTTTTTCCCCCTTGAAGAGGTAGGATCTCACCTTTATGCCCAGGTCACTCTTGAACTCCTGGCCTCAAGTGGTCCTCTTGCCTCAGCCTCAAAAAGCCTTGGGATACATGTGTGAGCCACCACACCTGGCCACTTTCTTTTTTTTATAACAGCTGTATTTAGAGGCATTTATTTAATGTTTTCAGTATCATTTGATTTGCCTAACTTATGTGTACAATTCACTGGCCTTTGGTGTATTCACAAAGTTATACAACCATCACTACAGCCAATTTAAGAACATTTTAGCCCCACAAAAAAAAAACTTGTGTGACAGTGTGAATGTACTTAGTGCTACTGAATGGCACACTTAAGAATGATCACAATGCTAAATTAAGTTATGTTATTTATGGTTTACCACACTTTTTTTAAAAGAAGAAAGCCCACACCCTCAAACCATCAGCCCCCCCAGCTCTGAGCAGCCGCTGGCCTCCCTTCCGGCTCTGTGGGGCCCACCCTGGATTTCAGCCCCAGGACCCCTGTTTGGCCAACTGTCCTAGACGATCCTCACAGTATGGCTGGCTCAAGGCTGGGCTCCATGCAGGGGTGGAGCAGGGAGATGCCTTTCTGCTCTAGTGAACTCACAGCCTATAGCCCAAGAGCCCTGCCTCTCCCTCACTGTATGAACATGTGAGGAATGCAAGATGTGTGATTTCCCAACAGAGAGCCCAGCACCTTGGGTTGCCGTGACCGTGGCCAATGGTGCCCCTGGAGCTGGGCTCTGGAGGCTCAGGGTGTCTCTGTACAGGACCAGCTACTGGGCAGAAACAAAGAGTGGGGCTGGGCCTGCAGGATCGGAGGGAGAAGGGAGGTGTCTGAGGACAGGCTGCTTCTGAAGAGCCACGTGAGAGGAGGACATGTGAGGACACAAAGCCTGCAGTCATGCCTCACACTGCAATTGCTGAACTTGTGTCGCGACAGTTTCTAACACTACCCTCAACTGTGCAGACCGTGATCTGGTCTGGGCAGCTCCCAGGCGTCATGCCTCAGGCTCAGCCGTGTTGCAAGACCAGGCATCCGCTTCCTACAGCTGCTGCCCACATACCTGCGGAACAACAGAAACTTGTGCTTGCCGCCCTGGGATGCAAAGTCTGGAACCCAGGTGTCGGCAGGCCTGGCTCCTCCGGGAGATGAGGAATCTCCCCAGGGCCCTGTCCAGTCGCTGATGGAGGCTGCTGCTCCGTGGCCTTCTTCGGCTGGTGGACGTGTCAACCCATCTTTCTCTGCCTTCACATGGCCTCCCTTCTCTGTGTACTTCCCCTTTGGCCTTCTTACGAGGACACCAGTCACACCAGACTCCCCAGGCATGGCCTCATGGGCAGGGATGGGGTCTGTCCCAGCATGCAGGGCTCCCTGGATGTGGCCTGGTGGGTAGGGATGTAGCCTTTCCCAGGATGCAGAGATCCTGGGTGTGGCCTCACGGGTAGGGGTGCTGTTGGCATGGTCAGAAGTGGAGAGGTGCAGGACTGGGACCTGGGAGACTCCCTTTGTTGACAAAGCTGGTAAATGTCAGGGTCTAATTGCAAAGAGCCAGGTGTGACGTTGACTTCACGTGTGAGTTTACAAGTCTATGGCTTTGACAGTGAACCTGTGGCTGGGCCTGTCCATCTAGGGACGCACTGGGTCTCAGCTCAAGCACAGATGTGCCCTGGTCCTGCCCCGAGGAGCAAGCACAGTTGGTAGCCCTGGTCTAAGGCTGTGTGCGGCTGCTATTTTGGGAAAAGCATGCAGGGCTCTATGTGAGGGCCGTGTGGGGGTGCCTGGCCTTGTCTTCAGGGTTTCGTTTTGGGGAAGGTGTGCAGGGCTCTGTGTGAGGGCCAGATAGGGGTCACCTGACCTTGTCTTTTGGGTTTTGTCTGTTCTGCAGGGGTCAGGTTGTGCCCAATGGCCAGGGAAGCTGTGGGTGTCAGGTGTACCCCTGCGCTACGCTAGACCTTGGCACATCAGCTATCACCAGCCCCGCTTGCAAGACTCGGAGGAAGGCCCTTCCATCTCCTCCTGCAGATGGAGGTCCCGCTCATGGCTCTGGGAGGTCTCCGGCCCCAGCCTCCACGACTGCAGGAGGTCTCTGGTCCCGGCCTCCCTGGGCCACACCATGCTGGCCCCTGCAGGCATCCATGAAGCTATCTGGGGTTGCCTGTGTCTGTGACTGTGACTTCCCTGAGGCTGGTGACACCTCAGGCTGCTGTTCCTGAAACAAGGCATCGGAGGGCAACCCTGGGCACCTCCTGCACTTAATCTAGTTGACCTTTGGCTTCAAACTCTTTTTTGAAATGTTATACATCCTAATGGGAACCTTATCTCTCTGCCATAGAGGAATGTAAGAGCCTTTTAAGATCTGTGAACTGTGGCGAGCCGGGCTTAGTGCATGGGAGAAGGCAACACAGAGCAAGGCGACTGACACAATGCATCGAACCACGTCCCTATACCCACTTCGTTCCCTGCAGCGGGGTGTTGTCCCTCTGCCCATAGGCTGCCCGCATCTCCCATGCAGTTCTAGGCTCAACAGGCTCCTCCCTGTGCAGGGACCCAGCACTGAGAGGGGAGGGACATCCTCATAGTGCATTGTCAGTCCAGGATCAAAGCTGGGCCAGGACATGGTCCTGTCTCTCTGCCCCACAGAAGCCCGAGGACCCTCAGGAGACTGACACCACTCTGGACTTCTGCGTCTATCGCCCTCTGGTGCCTGGGCACACTCACCATGGGCTCCCTAGTGCAGGACGCCCCCCCCCCAATGGGCCAGGCGCTAGGAGGACAGCCAGAGTCCAGGGGAGGCGTCTGTGGGACACTCACCAGTGGGAGACCTCCATGCATGGAGCTTCCCTGGATCCCTTGTCCAGGCTTCCATGCAGGGCGTGACATGGGGCCCTCTTCCCCACTGGGTTTGTCCCCCTCCAGGCACCTACTTCCCCATCCTGGCCCCTGCCCTGGAAGAGCCCTGTCCCCGCTGCATGGATTCTTGGGTAGATACCCTGACCCCCTTCCTTGTCCAAGGTGGTAGTGTTAGTGCCCTCAGTTGCTGTGCCCCAAGTCAGGGTAGGTTCTGATTGGCCCTGGGGAGCCTGGGTGAAAGGTCAGTGGCCTACTCCAGTGGCTTGGTCCGTGGGCCCCTTGGAAGCTAAGCAGACCTGGGCAGCCTCCCTCCTGCCAGCCCTCAGGATCCTCAGACTCGCCATGTTGTGGAACTGCCCCTTGGGATGGCCCCGACCAATTCAGTGTTTAATTCAGTGCTTTTACAATCTAGAAGCCTCTGTGCTGTTTTGCCAGAAGTGGCAAGTGTGTATTAGTTACCACCAGCTGTTCTGTAGGTAGCCCCTGTGGCCTCCATGGACTCACACTTTGTTCATGACTCACTCACCTAGGGTTTCACAGCAGCTGATGTATGGGGCCACGGGCCAGGCTCTAGCAAGTGCCGAGACCTCCTCTTCTTGCCCCTGGAGGGCCGCTGACCCAGGCATCCCGTCTCTCCCCAGTTCTGTTCCTGGAAGGCTCAGTTCTTGTGTTTGAGGACATCTTCAGGCTGATCACGTTCTACTGTGTCAGCAGGTGAGTAGCCCGGCTCCGTGGGAGGTGTCTGGCTGTGGCTGACATTCCATGAACTTGGGGGATCATAGGGAAGCTCTAGGGGAAGGCGTGGCCCAGAGGTGACTAGCCCCTGGCCTTGGCCCGGTAACCATGTGGGAGCGTGTTTAGCTGGCAAGGGCCCCTCCCCACCCAGCCCTCTAGCTTGATGCCCATATCCCAGCTTCCTGTGTTAGCAGTCAGGGATGCCAGCATCCTGTGCCTGCCTGAGCTGTGTCCCAGGGGTTCTGGAGGGAACTTTCTGCAGGGGCAACCAGAGGTCTCCCTCCTCTGACCTCCCTGGCCTCCCTCCTCTGTTCCCTGGTCTCCCTCCTCTGGCCTCCCTGGCCTCCCTCCTCTGTTTCCTGGCCCCCTTCCTCTGGCCTCCCTCCTCTGTTCACTGGCCTCCCTCCTCATGTCTGGGGAGCTAGGGGATGGGAACCCCATCACAGGAGAGAGCCTGAAACGGTACAGCAGCGCCGGGGAAATTGGGTGTTGGGTACCCACACCAGGGCCGCCCTGTTCACTCAGAGCTGGTTTATCAATGAGAATTGGAAATGCATTTGGAGCTGGCGGGACTGGTGAGAGCTGGGCAGGATGGGTCAGCAGTGGGTTCCCAGCTGCCACTACATGCTCATTCCAGGGAACTCCAGGCATACTGCAGGACCTCACCCCCACCTCCCAGGACCCTCTGTGCTCAGGTGAGCAGGAGATGCTGACTGCATGCTCCCTGGGATGTGCTGACTATGTGCTCACTGGGAGATGCTGACTGTGCACTTCTTGGGAGATGCCTTACTGTGCACTCCTTGAGAGGCCTGACAGTGCGCTCCCTGGGATGTGCCAACTGTGTGCTCCCTGGGAAATAACTGACTGCGTACTCTTTGGGAGATGCCTGACTGTGTGCTCCTTGAGAGATGCTGACTGTGCATTCCTTGGGAGATGCCTGACTGTGTGCTCCTAGGATGTGCCAACTATTGCCCAGCAACTCCCTAGGATGCACTCTCTGGGAGATGCTGACTGTGCACTCGCTAGGAGATGCTGACTGTGCACTCGCTAGGAGATGCTGACTGTACACTCACTGGGAGATGCTGACTGTGCACTTATTGGAAGATGCTGACTGTGTGCTCACTGGGAGATGCTGACTGTGTGCTTGCTGGGAGATGTCTGACTGCTCTCACTGGGAGATTCTGACTGTGCACTTCTTGGGAGATGTTGTGTACTTATTGGAAGATGCTGACTGTGCACTCGCTGGGAGATGCTGACTGTGTGCTTGCTGGGAGATGCTGACTGTGCACTTGTTGGAAGATGCTGACTGTGTACTCTCTGGGAGATGCCTGACTGCGCTTTCTGGGAGGTGTCTGACTGTGTACTCACTGGGAGATGCTGACTATACACTCTCTGGAAGATCCTGCCTGTGCGCTCCTTGGGAGATGCTGACTGTGTGCTTGCTGGGAGATGCTGACTATGCATTTGTTGGAAGATGTTGACTGTGTGCTCTCTGGGAGATCTGACTGTGCACTCCTTGGTAGATATTGACTATGTTCTCTTGGGAGATGCTGACTACATCCCCTAGGATGTGCTGACTTTGTGCTCTCTGGGGAATGCCTGACTGTGTGCTTGTCATGAGATACTGACTTTGTGCTCATGACACGTCTCAGTGAGGAACAACAAAGATTGTGGTGGGAAGGGTGGGTCACCTACCCTTTACCCTATAAACTGTCAGCAGGCCAGGAGACCAAGGAGGGATAGGGACCCCTCCCCATGCCTGGGGATCCCACATCTGGACCCTGGTACCGTCAGAGGCCTAGAGCCTCCCGAGGTTCCCTCAGCCCCAAGGCTCTGTCCTTGTCTGCTAGGAGGCATCCAGGCTGTGGGGAGGAGCAGCCACAGGGGAGCCAGGGCTCTTCCACTGTGGGCTGCAGGCTTGGGATCAGGGAGACTGGGTGTGGACATGGGAGGGACAGACTCTCCCAGACATGCCTTGACTCCCTGTCTCCACAGAGATGTGCTGCCCTTCCCGCTGCGGCTGCCCTGGGCCGTCCTTGAGGCCAACAGTGCCACGGACCTCGAGACCATCTCCAGCCTGGGCCTGGGTGAGTCCTCCTGGGGCCCAGGGGCTGGTGGGACTTCAGGAAATAGGACTTTCCCGTGACTGCCATGTAGTGACATGGTCCCTCAGGCTGACACAGGTGGGACCCTGAGTCCCAGCACCCTTGGGACCACCCACCCCTGACCCAGCCACTGAGCCACATGGCAGGGACACTGTCCAGCTTCCAAGGTGCCACCTCTGCCCACTGCCTGGGAGTCCCAGACACAGCATGTTGGTCTGGTTGGGCTGTGGCAGCCAGGGCCCAAGCAGCTGGTGTAGCTCTAGAGGGCTAGACCCTCGACAAAACCCTTCCCATGAGGGTCAGAGAGTGGGGCTCTTCCCCAGCCTGCCTCTGTCCAACCAGCTGCCCCGAGCTTACTCGGCCTCCTCTCCAGTTCCTGGGGTTAAGTGAGGAGTGGAGAGAAGATAGAGGGTCAGGATCAGGAGCGTAGCTGCCCCTAGCCCGTATGTGTGATAGTAAGGGGGGTTTGCCACTATGGGCCACACTGAGTGCCCCAGGGGGATGGAGTTACCCAGGACCAGGGCCTCACCACACTGGCCCTTGAGAATCCCCGGTGCCACATCCATAGCTGCCGGGAAGCCAGACCACCTCTATCGGCTGCATAGGAGCAGAGGATCCCTGGCGGGGAAGGGAGCATGTTCCAACAGCTGCTTCAGAGCCGCGGGGACCCCAGAGCCCAGGCAGAGTAGAGCCTGGCAACCCAGGCCGCCATCACAGTTACTTACAAAGCCGTTCATTGGCACAGCTTCATGAAGGCACACCACACACAGACATGGTGCTGTGTGTGGCTGACATGGCGCCAGGGATTCTGGTGCCTGCTCCCCATAGTGATGGGATGACAGAAGCAATGACCCACAGGATGGAGCTGGGTCACAAAGGATGCTGGGTAGACCTGGGATCCAGCACCCAGTGGGGCCAGAGGCAGTCCTCAGTCAGGCCAGAAAGTAAGCGGGGCTCAGGACCTGGGGTGCTAGTAGCGGCCATCAATGTGCACCAGGCCCTTGAGCTGCATCTACACAGCTTCAGATAACCTGGAAAGTGGGTCTCCCAGCTACTGCACAGGAAAGGCAGGCATGGCAGTGACGTCTCATGTTGGGTGTCACACAGCCCATAGTGGGCTAGGATTCAAACCCATGCCACATGACTCCCACACCTGGCATGCCTCAAGCTGCCCTCAGCTGCCCACCTGACTATTCTGGGTCTGAGTTACCCAGTTCACAGACTGTAGGGTCAGCTTTTGGTGGATATTGGGAATAAACACTGAACTTGGCTTCCCAAATTCTTAGTTGTTGAGCTCTTACCCTCCCAGGAGTGTGGATGAGAGACAGGTGACAGTTCAGCCATTTGCACAGTGCAGATGACCTCCCTCTGGGGGCTTAGGTGACGTGGAAGATGCTGACCACTACTGGGTACTGGGAACTGCCTGGTGTCATTCTCGTGCGTTTTAAAGATGACAGATCACCATGTTTTAGCCCAGCTGAGCACTGTGTGTGAGGTGGCCAGACAAGATTTGCACCGAGGGCTCCCTGTCTCTGGACATGGCCCTTGCACGTCCTTCTCTGTTTTTGCAATGAACATTCGGAGCCAGTTTGAAAGCCACATTGGTGGGAAAGCCTCCTGCTTCCTGACTGCCTCTGGGCCTTACTGGATGGAGGCAGGTGTCCCTGGACTGGCTGTCCCTGGACTCCCCCGTGGGTTCCTCCCACTCAGAAGAGCATGACTGTCCCTGTGACCTGGGAAAATGTACCTCCTTGGGAGACCCATAGTCCTTTTTGAATAGACAAGGCCTCTCTTCTGGGAGAGCATGGTCTTGGCGCAGCAAGGGATGGAGACAGAAGGTCATGTCCGGAGAGCTGGGAGAAGCCGGAATGTCATGTCTGGGGAGCCAGGAGGAGCCAGGGGATTGTGTCTGGGGAACCGGGGAGTTGCATCTGAGGAGCTGGGAGGTTGTATCAGGGGATCCAGGGGGTGGTATCTGGGGAACTGGCAAGGTGTGTCTGGGGAGCTGGAAGGAGCTGGAAGGTTGTGTCTGGGGAGCCGGGAGTCACACCTGGGGAACTAGGGGGGCTACATCTGGAGAGCGGGGGAGGTTGTGTCTGGGGAGCTGGAGGGTCGTGTCTGGAGGGCCGGGGATCCTGTCTGGGGAGCAAGCAGCAGTGAGGATTCATCTGTCAGCACTTGCTTCCCTGAGGATGGGATGGAAGTGAAACTGTCAGGACCCGGGGGTCTTGTTCAGACCTGGGGTCCCCAAGAACTGAAGGACAGGAAGCTGGGCTCACCAAAACTATTGGTCCTGGCCAAGAAAAGTCAACTGTTCAGCCCCTGGGTGGATGGAAACCTGGAGCGAGCATGTCCTGTCGGGCTAGCACCTTTGCATATGGTCAGAATGGTGTGAGCGGTATCATGTAAGATAAAAGAGCAGCATCTACCACGGGCCCGACACATCTAAGTACTTTCATGGCCAAGGAACAAAATCCACTCAGGCAGCTTAGATAAAATGAGACTTGAGACGGGGAGCCTCCAAGAAGAGGGGACCCTCTAAGGACTGTAGGAGGGGTCATCTGGGTGCCCAGCCAAGGCCCAGGAGGCTACGGGGCCCACAGGTGCTTCCTCAGCCTGAGGGCTAACAGGAAGGGGAGGGAACTCTGAGGGGCAGTTCTGCCACGGGCCGAGGCCAGCGTGTGCCGTTGGGCACTGGCGCCCACAGCTTTGCCAGCCTCTAGGGTTGCGTGACATGGCGTTCCACTTCCCCTGCGGCCTCGGCATTCGTGGAGTGTGGAGACGTCACCTACTTCCTGTTCTTCAGGGCCTAAAACCCTGCACAGCTGCTCCGGCTCCCTGGCCGGCCCCAGGATCCCAGGGTGCAGCCCCTCGGCCCCTAGCTTCCCACCCTTGAGTGCCATCAGCTTTGGGACCTTTGCCCTTCCTGAATGCCCCTCTAGATCTGTCTTGGGGCCAGAAAAGCAGCTCCTTTTCCCCCAGGCTGGGGCCCCTTCCCTGGTGTCTACTCCACTCTGGCCAGCATCCTCAATGAGCAACAAGAATGGGCCACTGTCCTGTGGCCCATCCAACTGCAAGCACGTCTGGCCTCCCTAGCCTGCCTCCTCTGTTCCCTGGCCTCCCTCCTCTGGCTTTCCTCCTCTGGCCTCCTTGACCTCCCTCCTCTGTTCCCCGCCCCCACTCCTCTGGCTTCCCTGACCTCCCTCCTCTGTTCCCTGGCCCCCTTCCTCTGGCTTCCCTGGCCTCCCTCCTCTGGCCTCCCTGGCCTCCCTCCTTTGTTCCCTGGCCTCCCTTCTCTGGCCTCCCTCCTCTAGCCTCCTTCCTCTGTTCCCTGGCCTCCCTCCTCTGGCCTCACTGGCCTCCCTTCTCTCTGTGTCTCATCTCCAAACTTCTTCCCGTGGTTCAGTCATCCCTAAGAGCTGTTGCGACTGCCTGAGCCTGCGTCCCATTCCTTGGAGCCTGCTTCCCACTCTGGCTGATCCATCCACGGGTGCCAACTGAATTGGCTCTGCTCTGGACAAGTGTGGCCTGAGCTCTGGGGACGCCCCAAGGAAGAAGCCTCGCAGAGCTCCCAGAGGGCTGGGCCGGTTGCCGGACAGACGTCCAGTGGTCGCAACTGGCTGTACATCAGGGTGGGCAGGGATCAGGGGGGCGGGCCCGAGGGCTCAGAAGACGCCCCACACAGACTCCACGTGCCAGTCTGTGGGATGAATCAGTGTTGTCAGCAGACAGGGCGGGAGGAGAATCCTGAGCAGAAGGAACAGAGGCTGAGTGGGTGATGTGAGCAGCAGGGGGTAGGTGGAGACTCAGAAGACTTGGGAGAGCTGTGCAGGGCTGGGCCTCAAGTGCCAGGCTAAGCACCTCATTGAGAGTGATTCTCAGCAAATGCAGCCACAGACGGCCTTATGCCCAGCCAGGCGCCATCAGGAGCAGAGAGCAGAGGGTCAGCCACAGCCGTGACCTGGGCAGGCATCATAGAAGTGTTCCAGCATGAGGGGAAATTCTGCATATTATCTACTCCATGAAACCACCTTCATCCAAAGGCAGTCTTGTGGGAACCTGGCAGGGAGCATGGGTCCTCAGCTTATGTGTGGGTGCTGCCCAGTTCACCTTGGAGTCAGACTGACTGCCTGCTTCTTCTTGCTGGAAAAACTTCCAAGGAAACAACTTTACAGGCCCTTGTGGACATGGGCACAGGGCCCCAGACGCTCACTCCAGGGGTCAGAACACACGTGCTCAAATCAAGGTGCCTGGAACATGTTGGCCATGGAGGGATCAGGAGGTGCCGAAGGAAGTCAGGGCCAGGCAGCTGAGAGAGTGGCTTGGCTAGGCAGGGGAGGCGACTCCAGGCACCATGTCCTTGCTGGGGACTGATGGTGAGAGCTCTACAGATGGAAGGTGTTGCCGGAGAGCATGTCATCCTGGACTGCGGTGACAGCTGAACCCTCTCCGCCAGCTGTGACACTCGACTGCCAGACACAGTGTCTGCCAGGACAAGGCTGAAAGAGAGCCCTACCCCCTTGCCATGAGGGCATACTCCAGGAGCAAACAGCTGGGTGGGTCCCCGCACACATCCTGGGAAGGTACTCTGCTCACCCTGACGGTGACTGTGGTCCTGGCCAGCAAGGAAGCAAATGCGTACCACTCACCTGCAGGTGCCACCCCTCACTGTGCCACCCCCCTGCCCAAGCCACCCCCCAAGTATGCCACCTCCCTGTGTATGCCAGTTCCTTGCGCATGCCACCTAGAGCAGGCACATGGCCGTCGACTCTTTCCTCATCCCCTGTTCTGGGTGCGAACCACCCAGCGCTCACTGATGCCGGGAGGGCCACTGTGACGGGAAGTGTCACAAGTTCCTCCAGAGAACGCCAGCTGTGCAAAGGCTGAGCTTGGGTTCCAGAGCAGCCTAACCAGGTCCACCCCAGCCCTTCACCACCGTGATCCGGCAAGTCCTTGCGTCCCTGAGTCTCATGTCTCCTTCTGTGAAATGCGACAAGGCCCAGCCTGCTCTGGCACCACAGCCATGGCTGGGTCTGCGGGACTGGTTAGCAGTGAGGCGTGTTCTGGTCTCAGTTGTGCCGGAGCCTCGACTGCTCCCGCCAGCCTCTCAGGCTGGGCCCGGGACCAGCCTCTTATTCTAACCTTGAGACTGCCAGAGTCAGAACTGTATTGCATGAATGGGCCTTCCCCCCTGGGAGGGCAGCTGTCAGCCCACCACGAGCCACAGGTTGGCTCTTCCCACGTAGGACAACCACGGGGCCTCCTAGGCCCCTTCCCCACTGGCCACGTCTCTTCCTTGCGCTCCTGGACATGGTGCTGTTGCAATCTCCTTCACGGGACAAAAAGACCGAGGCCTGGGGAGGTCCCTGCCCAGGCCTGAGGGAACTCAAAGTTGCTACCCATGTCATCAGTGCCCAAGAGGGGCCCTGACCAAGGGGTGGGTTGAGCCGGCCTGTCACCACCCGTGCCTGCCTGCCCGCCCCACTGGAGGACCCAGGACCTCCCCTATTGAGGCAGGAAGTGGTGGGTAGGCTTGAAAGGTACAGGAGGGGAAGCGGCTGCGACACAGTCCTCCCGCCCCCCCATCCCCGGACACCGCCCTGTCTGGGAGGGCCGGTGCAGCACTGACTGCCCGCCCTTTCTCGTCCACAGGCTTCTGGGACTCCTCGCTGAACCCCTCACGAGGAAGAGAAGGCCCAGCTGAGCCCCCGGGAGCCCCGGCCCCTGGGGCACCCCCTGCTTGTGGTCCCCG